GAGATTACAGTTGGACAGAGGCATACTTTTTTTGTTTTTTTTTAGAATTCTTTTATCTATGGGGATGGACAACTTTGTAAATGTGGCAGTTTAATCATATGGTTGTACCCTCAGTGAAAACTATTATAAATAGAAATTCTAACTTTAAATAGGAGTACATAGGTGATAGGATAAACTTTTCAACTAACCAAGTTTTTTTTCTTTTCCCATTCATTAATCACTTTCTTCGAACCTGTAACTCTAGTTTATTATTCCATATTAAAAAGCCATAATAAATCTGGGGCCGGGCGCAGGTGGGCTCACGCCTGCCTAATCTTGTACTCTGGTTTTTTTTGAGGCCGAGGTTTTTTTCTGTGGGCGGATTGCTCTGTGTTTTTTTTCGGTCAGGGGGGTTCGAAACCAGCCTGATCAAGGGGAGCGAGATCCCCGTCTCTACTATAATAGCAGGCAAGAAATAATTGGCCAAACTAATTATTATATAGAAAAAAATTAGGGCGGGCATGGTGGGCCGATTGCCTTGTTAGGTTCCCAGCTACTTTGGAGGGCTGAGACAGAAGGATCTCTTTGAGCCCATGAGTTTGAGGGTTGCTGGTGAGCGAGGCTGACGACCACTGCACTCACTCTAGCCTGGGCAACAAAGGCAGAGGACTCTGTACTCAAAAAAAAAAAAATTTAAAAAAAAAAAAAAAAAAAAAAAGGGTTGGCCGGGCGCTGTGGCTCACGCCTGTAATCCTAGCTCTTGGAGGCCGAGGCGGGCGGATTGCTCAAGGTCAGGAGTTCAATACCAGCCTGAGCAAGAGCGAGACCCCGTCTCTACTATAAATAGAAAGAAATTAATTGGCCAACTGATATATATATAAAAAATTAGCCGGGCATGGTGGCGCATGCCTGTAGTCCCAGCTACTCGGGAGGCTGAGGCAGGAGGATCGCTTGAGCCCAGGAGTTTGAGGTTGCTGTGAGCTAGGCTGACGCCACGGCACTCACTCTAGCCTGGACAACAAAGTGAGACTCTGTCTCAAAAAAAAAAAAAAAAAAAAAAAAAAGTTACAAAAATATCATATTCATTATATAAAAAACAAAAGTGAAAGATGAAAAGGCCAAATACTGTCTCATTTCCAAAAGGCAATGCTGTGAATTACTGCATATCTTTTCAGAAATGTTACTTGCATCTAAAAGCATGTGTTTCTTTTATATTTTATAAGATAAAACATATGCATCATATTTTTCATTCGAGACAGGGTCTTGCTGTCATCCAGGCTGGAGTGCGGTAGTGTGATCATAGCTCACTGTAGCCTCAAACTCCCGGGCTCAAGCAATCTTCCTGCCTCAGCCTCCCTAGTAGCTGGGACTACAGGCATGCGCCACCATGCCTGGCTAATTTTTTTTTTCTTTTAATTTTGTAGAGACAGGGTCTTGCTATATTGCACAAGCTGGTTCCGAAACTACCAGCCTCCTGCCTTGGCCTCCCAAAGTGCTGGGATTACAGGCATATGCCATTGTGTCCAGCCAAAATAAAATATGTGCTTCATCTTTATACACACAGATACACATATAGAGCCAACATACACCTATTTGGTGGTCTTTTTCAATTATGTTTGCTTGACTCCATCACACACTCCACATATTCATCAATTGTGTGGCTATCTGGTAATCCATTCCACCACATGTACCATAATTGATTTTGATGGACATTTAGGGTTCCTTTTTGTTTTTTGGGTTTTTTTTGCTATTACAAACGGTGGATAACAAATCTTTATGCATATATTTTGCACATTTGTGTATTTATTTTCTAAAGAAAAATTCTAAGAGGTAGAACTGCAAGGTCAAAGGAAGGCTGCATTTTAAAATCTCAGTAAATGTTGCCCAAATTCCTGCAAAACGTTATTGCCATTTGCACTGTATGCCTCCATCCATCAGTGTGTGACAGGTCCACATTCTCTTTGCTCTTGGATTTAGACATCAAATATTATCTTAAAAAGAGGTTAATTCTCCCTAAATTTAATCTGTAAATTCAATAAAAAATACCACCAGAATTATTTTTCTTGTAAGAATTCTCAACCAACCAGAATTATTTTTTGAACAAGACAAAATTATATTTAAGCTTCTTTAATGAAAATAAAAGACTTGTGAGAAAGAAGAGCAAGTGACAGACAGTGACAAACAGGCAGTTCACAATAAAATAAACTGCAAAGCTGATAAATGTGAAAAGCTGCTCTGCATTAAAGACACATGAACTAAAACCCAGTGGGGCCTATGACTACAGCCTACTGCCCTGCCACTTCCTGCCCCTCAGAATCCATGACCTCTTAGGGCTGTACCTCCTATGGACCAGGCACTGCACACCTGTTCTTTGACTGAATTCATGAATTTGATCTCCTTGCAACCCCACAAAGGCAATTATCAGTATTTTCCCTGTATAGTGGATGAGGAAACTGAGGCAGAAAAGCTTGAGAAAACTTAATTAAGGCCTCATGGCTGTGGAGTAGGAAGTTGAAAGCTCGCAGTCTGTGGCCCTAAGCACACTGC